GGCTGGCTGGTTGGTTTTCCAAAACGAACCCAAGTTGTTCATGGAACTTGGGGGACCACGGATTCTCTAATTTTTGGCTGCATTTTTGGCTGCAAGCCAGGCACTTAACCGTGATTCAGCGAAAGTATAAAGCCTAAATCCTGGCACGCAGAACTTGCAATAAACCTGCATTTGCCCGCAAGCCCAGTGGAAGTCTGCCAACAACTTGGTCTGAATTGGGTGCTGTTGGCAAAGAATCAATCTCTGAAATCCGCAATGCAGTCTGGTTTGAGGAGGGATCGTCGGGTTTAGGTAGCCTTAACACTCAAGCCTTGGCAGCCCAGTGGTACCCTCTAACCTATTTTGGGTTATGGGTTCCCTCATAAAACAACCAACCCAAAGCAGGTGCCCTTATTGCAATATGGTCTCTAGGCGACCCAGAAGCGCTTTAGGTGCTGATGCGAAGGCACGTGTATGAACCTGAACATCAACTCCTGGAAGCGAAGAAGAGAAGGTTGAACCTTCCCTGAAGGGTGCATTGGGGCGCATCCATCAGGAACCCATAGCATCCACTGAAGCTTTTGCGAGCTGTACTTGGTGACTTATCTCAGCAGTTGAAGAGACGAAAGTTGCCATATGGTCTTTATGGTCTATGGCTAGTCTAAGGTGACAGGAGTGGGAATGATCCGATTCCTCAAGCCGAGTTTCGGATTAACACCTAAAGGCCCTAAACCCTAAACCCTAAACCCTAAACCCTAAACCCTCGAGGCAGCCGGCAAGGGCATGGATATTGAGAAGTTCGGCCCCATCAGGCCCCCGAGCCCTTTGATGGTACTTTGGGTTCAGGAGGTGGTTCAAGTTTCAATCTGCAGGCGTTGCTCAGTGAGTTGAGAGTGAAGGTTTGAGAGCACGAAGCCTCAAACCTGGGGCCAAGGCCTAAACTGTAGAGCCCCCTGCGGAAACATGCAGTTTCACAAGTACGTAGGGAGTTGTTGCAGCCTTTCCCTGAAAGTATCCCGAGCGCACAGCCTGCAGCCACATTGGGTCTTCCCTAAACCCTAAACCCTAAACCCTAAACCCTAAACCCTAAACCAAAGGCGCTTCTGCCATGACTTGATCGTGTGGAGCGGTTTCGACACAGTGCGGCTTGGCAAACTTGACGGTGAGGTGGGAGGTATGCCCTTGGGACATTTATATACCCCAAGCCCTAAACCCTTTTTGGGTCTAAGAGGATCATATTCAGGAACATTTTTTCAGAGTTTATATACCCTAAACCCTAGACCCTTTTTGGGTCTAAGAGGATCATATTCAGGAATATTTTTCAGAGGGGCTTGAGGGCCATCCTAAAGTGGGGCAGCTAGGATCAGCTAGGCCAGGATGAGATTCGGTGTTGCTCCATTTTGGGTTGTTTCATTCGTTATTATAATTTCGTTTGCCGCATTTGCCCTGACGCTGGTGACGAGAAGACTTGTGTCTGAGTGCGTATGGGTTCGGAGGTTGTTGGTGGTAAGCCTGTGTCCCACGACCGTAGTGCAGGAGCTGTTATATTAAAGTCGGAAGAACCACATGTGCTGACGGAAAGACTGCATCGTCCATCTTTGTAGGAGTTTAAGAGGTGCTGCTGATGGGCTTGCCATCAATGGTGTGATTTGGAGAGTGGGTTGGCCATCCCGGAAACCCACACATCGGAGCTATCACTCTTGGGCCGTATAGCAATCGCTGGGGTGGGTGGGGGTGGGGTGGCGGGGTGGGAGGGTGGTGGGGGGGTGGGGGGGGTGGGGGGGGGGGGGGGGGGGGTGGGGGGGGTGGGGGGGGGGGGGGGGGTTGGGGGGTTTTGTGGCAGATCTGCCTTGGAGCCTCAACGGTGTTGGTTTGGAGCTGCTAAGCTGAAGGAAGAAGGTTTCAGGACCAAGAACTCTAAGTCCACGGCGGCTCCCCGCCAGGATTGGCTTGATCATCATGCTCAACGGCGTGACCATTGGGATCCAAGCGCAATACTCGGCCCTGCCTGCATGCTTGTCGAGCTCGAGACCCCTGAACAAATGCGGCGCAGCGGTGCCTGGCAACAGGGACTGCTGACGGAGCCACGCATGTCAGGGGATGGAGTTGAGACCTTGGCCTAGGGCAGGCTGTGCGAACTTGCCTGTGATGCCACGAAGCTGAGCTTAAGAACTCGTGTACGTACAACGTGTTGACAACCTTCTGGTACGCAAGTTGAGCTGCCACATCCCAGTCGGAGAGAGTCATGCTTGATTTCGGGCGTGTCCCTTGCATCCGGCCCGGGGACATCTGGCTTCATGGGGTCCATGTGGGTGTGAGGGCTTGATGATGGATGAGGGTTTAGGGTTTAGGGTTTAGGGTTTAGGGTTGTTGAGGATTGCCCAGGGTTTGAGACTTGAGCATGTCTGGACTTCATGGCAGGCCAGAATCCCGAGACAAGCCGGTTGCAATCCAGATTGCAGCGGATGTCTCGAGGGAACCGTTTGCCTTCCGTCTCTCGGCTTGGACATCGGCCTAAGTAGCTAGGGTTTGGGGTTTAGGGTTTAGGGTTTAGGGTTTAGGGTTTAGGGCAACAATCATGAGATTGTTGATGTTAGTAATGGTGATCGTAGCCATCGTGACGCTACCATCGCCATTGTTCTTGACGCTGTTCAATAGCTTCGTTTCAAGCCAGTTTGTTGTCGGCTCGTTATTGTTTAAGTGTCGAGTTGGATGTGTGCTTGCCTTGTGACGAGGCAGTAGCATTGTACCAGTCGTCGTCGCCGTCGCCGTCCCCGTCGCCATCGCCGTCGCTGTGGCCGTCGCATTCATCGTCGTCGTGCTTGTAGTGTCCAATAATCACTGTCATCGTCCTAGTTGTCGTGGTGGTCATCGCAGCCGTGGCCGTAGACGGAAATGTCGTTACAGTATCTGTGGTTCTGGTAGCAGTGGTAGTGGTAAGGGGTGGTAGTGGTCGTGGTAGTGGTAGAACGAGTCTTGCTACGAAATTAGTTCTGCACGTGTGGTGGTCGGAGTCGTAGTAGTGGATATGGTAGAGGTCATGGTGGTGCTGGAGTGGTATAGTAGTGCTAGTAGTGGTAATGCTGGAAGTAGTCGTGGTAGGGAGAGGCTGCGGTAGGTCGCTGGTGTAGCAGTGGTGGTGGTGGTGGTGGTGGAAGTGGTAGGGGTGGGTGGGGGTCGGGGGGTTAAAAGCCTGCCCTCGAATTCATGGGTATTTCCTCCATCGTCATTAATGTCACATAAAATCTTGGTTGCAAGTACTCTCGTTCAAAGCTGGTGGCATCTGAAACCGCTTTCGCCTCTTGAAGTCTGATCCCAGGTCTCCCGAGTGGATTGCGAACTTAGAATGGTTTTTTCTGGTGATCTACGTCACCGAGCTTTCGCTGCGCTTCTTTGTGTTCAGGCTCGGCCTGTGCAAACGGTTGTGGATTCTGACGGCCCCTTGAAGCCCTCAAGCCCAAGATCCAAACCTTCGGTGACCTACATTGCGGAATTCGGGGTTCGCTTGACTTGGCTTGCCAGGTTGTGTGCGTTTACTCGAGGGGGACTCCTGTTTTACGCCTTTGCTTGTGTGTGGTGAGGCTGCCTGTTCTCCGAAGTTGCGACCTCAGCGTCGGCTCATGACGACCAGCGGTTGTCTTAAATCCTCAGCTGAGCTCGTAAATGGTTCCTTGTCCCGCAAGGGAGTTGCCTAAGCTCTAAACCCCAAACACAAAACTGTTAAACAAACTAGAAACTCAACCTCAAACCCCCAGCATCTTTAAACCCTCAGCCCTAAACTCAACCCCCCTCCCACCTTGCACATCCTTGTACCATAAATTGCGTTTGGGTCGAGAGCCACCATCTCTGAAGCCCCGCGTACTAACGTCCTCGCCAACCTCCTGGACTCTAACGGACAGTCCACGTGCCGACACGTCCAGAAAGCGATGCGTGTGCCGGCTGTTCGGATGATGGCCTTTCACTTGCAAAGGGCAAAAGGTGCAGCCTCTCATCGTTGAGCTAGCCTGCTGAGGCAACTGGGTGAAGCTGGACTGCTTCCTGGTGACATTTGCCATCATTGACGTCATACTGGCGCAGGCACGGAGTGCCTTCGACTGGGCTGATACTGATACTTCTATTCTCCTGACCCTGGCTCCCCCCCCCCACCGAATGTGTCGTTCAGGCGCAACCTTAAGTTGCTCTGCTCAAAAAATGCGCCTTGCAATGTGAAACTTGTCCGACTCACAGGGCCAGTCTGGGATGTGGGCAGATGTACAATCCAATGGAGTGTCATGTCGCGAACTGACATGCAAGGTATGTACGTCCGTAAATGTGTGCGCGCGTGCGCGTGCGCGCGCGCACTCTTTGCGTCGTGGGTGTCTTTGTGTGTGTGTGTCTGTCCGCGCATGTGCATCTCTCTCTCTCTCTCTTTCTCCGTTTGTTCGTGTGTTTTGGACTCGCGCCTGCGCGTGGGTGGGTCTTCGAGTGGTATCCCAGTATAGGAGTGGAAACACTGACAAGTAGCGACCAGTGACATGGGCATACATGAGCGGTGGCGACCGCGCCCCCTACTCTTCTCTCGATTTGGGCATGACTTCACTCTTCATCGGTGTCGTCCTGAAGTGCTCAGCAGGTAGCCCCCAGCTCTCTAGAGAACCTGAGCGGTCCAGTTACCCAACAGATTTGTTCTTTCAGGGTTCGAGCTTTGCATGTTCTTGAGGATGTGATAGACGTCTTGTCTAAAACGATTGCACTCTGATCCCACCAACATTGAGTAACTGGACCCGTAGGTTGGAGGTCATTTGGACCTGCTTGGGCAAAACCGCGTACGCCAAGGCCGTGCGCGCTTAGGGTCATTTGGGCCTGTATCTAGCTGTCTTGTAGCTCTGCCGTACATTCTCTGTAGCATTTTTTTGGTATACGGCCATCAAAGCTGCCCTGAAACTTAAACCCTAAACCCTAAACCCTAAGATGCTTAAGTTTCCATAGTCCTTCACTATTAATAAACTGCACGACTTTGTACAGCAAGCTGCGCCCCGGCCATGGGACATCTCCGAGGTCTCGTCCGGCTCCTTGGAAGCTATTAGGGTTTAGGGTTTAGGTTTTAGGGTTTAGGGTTTAGGGTTTTTTGGAATCCCTTTGCCCGAGCCTTCCAAATTTGTTTAATGCTTTTCGGGGTCTCTAGTCGAAGCGCGCCGGGCTGATTTGGATTACCCTAAACCCCAAACCCTAAACCCTAAACCCTAAACCCTAATCCCTAATCCCTAATCCCTAAACCCACCCAGAAATTCTGGTGAGTCTGGGCATGAGCCGACCTTTTAGGCTCATGGAGCCCTGGGCCGCGCACAGCAAGCGCCACTGGTCTTCGGTGGCCGCCGTCCGCGCGCACGACGCCTGCCTGGGGGTTTAGGGTTTAGGGTTTAGGGTTCAGGGTTTAGGGTTTTGGGTTTAGGGTTTAGGGTTTAGGCCTGGCCTCAAGGTTTTCTGGGGGCTGATTTCCCCTTCGTCGGGAGAAGGCTGACGAGCTTGGGAACCCTCAACCTTAAACCCTAAACACTAAACCCTAAACCCCAAGCTCTAAACCCTAAACCCTAAACCCTAAACCCGGAAACGTTTAGGGATCGCGGCGTTGGCTTGCGAGTGTGGACGTTTCTCTAAGCGAGCAAAGGACACGCCTCAGTCCAAGAAAGCCGCCACCAGCGGCCGCGGGGCATGGCTTGATGCAAGGGGTTACCAAGATCTAGGCTGTTTGTGCAAAAGTATCGGATTTAGGGTTTAGGGTTTAGGGTTTAGGGTTTAGGGTTTAGGGTTTAGGGTTTAAGTCTGAGGCTGATTGTGAAGGTCTTTACGCCGTGAGAGGCCGTTGCTTAGAGAATCGGAAAGCCGATGGTTGAGTTTCATCTTTTTTCTGGCCTCGGTTTCTTGGTCCCCTGAACCCCTCGGCTGAGGCAGGGCTGGGGTCGTCGGGCTCCGGCGGGAAGACAAGAACAAGTGGGAGCGACGAGCCCCCCTGGCGCCCCGACACGTGGACGAGCTGGTGACTGGGCTTTCTGGAGCATGGTCTTTCAACGTGCAGATAGTTCGACACATCCTGAGAAGCAGCGAGACAGAACCGAGAAAGGACTCCTTCATGAATGTGGATGTGTGTGCTTCGCTGGTTTAAGCTTTGGGTTTGAAGCCCTAGTGCAACCACACCCTGTCCAGGCCTTGCCTTGCCCTTATAGACCCTAAACCCTAAACCCTAAACCCTAAACCCTAAACCCTAAACCCTAAACCCTAAACCCTAAACCCTAAACCCTAAACCCTAGGAGAATGAACGCTGAGGTGAAGCAAGGTCTAAAGGTCGTCGTGCAGCCGTGCACGCGACGCGTCTTCACGGACGTGGAATACGAGGAGGCCGGGGCAGAGATCAAGGAGGACCTCTCGGAATGCTCCACCGTCCTCGCGGTCAAGGAGGTGCCGCCAGAGCTCATGCTGCCAGGCCGGGAAGCCCAAAAGGCCCCCACCCCCGCCCCCCCAACCAAAGAAAAAAACACGGCTCGGCTCATGAGAGCCTAGAATGACATGAGTGTGGCATGGGTGTGGCATGAGTGTGTGTCAGACATCGAGCCAAGTTGTACGAACCAGGACTCAACAAGCAAAATTCACAGTTGAAGCGTTGCTGGCCCGGGAGGCCGGACTTGGTGCTTCTTTTCCCACACCATCAAGGCCCAGCCTTCCGGCATGCCCCTCCTGGATGCGGCCCTGAAGAAGAAGGTCCGGCTGCTGGACTACGAGCCTCGGCAGGGTTTGGGGTTTGCGGTTTGGGGTTTGGGGTTTAGGGTTTTAGGGTCTTTTCAGGGCAAAATAGATGGGGACGCCAAAGTAACAGAGCAGCAAAGTGACCTTCGACCAGGTTCGCCGAAGGCCATCGCCCCAGCAATTCTTCGTACAATATTCGAGTTTGCGGTGCTTGACAGATGGCCGTCAAATGTCCGGGTTCACGTCGCTTGGGTATTAAGCTTCGTTGAAGGCTGAAACTTCGTCTAACCTTCGTGTTCGGGTTGCCTTTGTGGCCCTTTGTGGAAGGTGTAAGCCTTCGTCGAACGTTCGTGTGCCGTTTGCCTTCGTCGAAGGTTCGTGTGGCGCGTTGCCCTTCGTCAAAGCAGTTTGCCTTCGTCCAAGCTTGTTTGGTACCCTATGCGTTCGTCAAACTTCGTTGGGGGTCGCGGCGACTCGCACAGGTTCGCGTGAGCTCGTATGCTGTTCTGCTATTCGGCTGTCCCCATTTGTTTGCCCTTTAGTTTAGGGTTTAGGTCAGCTCCCGGTTTTGTTCCTGCGAGTTGCATAAAATTGGAGAGGAGGGGAGGGTGGGGATAGAGGGGGGCCCATGTATGCAGATGTGTATGCGGGCCAGAACTCTTCAACTGTTGCACTATCCCCCCAGTACCCCCTTCGAGGAGCCCTAGACCCTAGACCCTAGTCCCTAAACCCTAAACCCTAAACCCCAAACCCGAAACCCTAGACCCTAAACCCCAAACCCCCCCCCCCTCCCTCCGAGGAGTGTATCACCGGCACCGGAGCCCGAGGAGGACCTCGGCTCGTGGCATTTGGCGCCTTTGCTGGCTATGCTGGAGTGCCTTGGACTGTTCTGATTGCGCTGTGAAGCCCTAAACCCTAAACCCTCAACCCTAAACCCTAAACCCTAAATACCAGTACCTTTTTTGATCTTGAACTAAGCCGAAAGCGTAGTGTTCAACGCCATGAGGCGATTGACTTCCTCCGTGGCCTTGGAGAGCGGTTCCTGTGCCTGGCCCCTGTACAAGTAAGCAGGGTTGAGGCCCGACAAGTCCCAGATCACCCTAAACCCGAAACTCTAAACCCTAAATCCACCATCCTTACGTAAATTACTCCCCACCAACAAATTGCTTTGTGGAGAACGGATTTCATTTCTTGTCACAAACCATACCAGCCAACCCCCGACGCGAGGTTCTTCCAAGCCACCAAATAGCTCGTCTAGCGCTGGAAGCGTTGGCACACACAGTGCTTGAGACCCCCCAATCTTGGGTTTGAGTGCCTACAGAAATGCAGCAGCTTCGAAAAGGTAGCCCGGCCAGCTTCATTCTGCACTTGATGCAACGTGTCTCTGCGTTGCCTGCACCTCCCTGCCTTCTCGGCCCCATCCGACGCTTCCAGGTCCCTCGGGTACAGCACCCCGCTCCTCCACATCGGATCTGCCTTTATGCGGCTTGGCTCTTGCGTGGGATACCCTTAGCATTTGGGATCTTGAGTACTCATAGGGACTTTGGATTAGGCGGCTTGCCATGGATCTGAGTCTAAGCCGTCTGTGGGGCCCTTAGGTTCCTCCGTTTGCTTGCGCATGTGAAGAGGTACCCCACACTGGACGAAGCGAAACGCGCGGTTTCACTGGCTGGGGAGGCACCGAGAACATCCCTCACAAGCTGCATGCAGTTGCGGCTCAGAAGGTTGCAAATCGACTTGCCTGTAAGGCATCCAGCTTGAACTCAGTATCTACATCACCTCGCTAGTTAGATATTCGGATGCTTGTAAGGTCTTTATGCGTTCCTCTTATCCTGAATCGTCAAACCCTCCAACTGCAGGTTGTATTTCCAAAGCACAGCCGCAAACCCCGCAGACAGTCTACAGTTCAAAGCACCTGCCTATAGGGAACCTCTTCTAGCTAGAAGCCGTCCCTGGCGAAGGCAATTCGCAAGCATGGTTTGCCGAAGGCGCTCTGCCCTTTCACTGCCGTCTTTACCGGCACAGGTGTCTTGGTGGGGGTTTAAATCCACCCGAATCGACAATTAAAATTGGCCCGATCCATAAAGCAAGATTGTCCCAAGTATTTCAGAAAGTATTGCGTGCCCTTTTCAAGGTGTTTGTTCGAGTGCGGGATCCGGAATCTCTTGGAACCAAGGAAATGTAAGCCAGGGTGCCCTTGAGATTTTCAAGCTCTTGCCGCACGAGCTCGTATGCCCATCTTCGCTTCCGCACCTCTGCGAGAAGGCCGAAGTCGGCCAGATGCAACGCGAGGACTGCCACAAGCTGTACCTGTCTATCGCTTCGGCTGAGCACATGGCCCCTGGGCTTCCCACAAATGGCTTTCGGTTTACGCCTTTCTCCTGTAGCCTGTAGTAGCAGCAGCCCTCATGAAAGTAGCATAGGAAGAACTAAGCTGCTTAAGCTGAGTGTGTGTGTGTGTGTGTGTGTGCTGCTGTGCTTGTTCCAGGACAGCTTATGATCCTTCCCTTCTTGGACTGCTAAACACCTTGAGTCCACAAGCATCAACCTTATTAAAAAGCCGCAACCCCAAGTCTTGAGTTGTCATCAGCATGTCTCCAGAAACGTAGACCCTAAACCCTAAAACCCTAAACCCTAAACCCTAAACCCTAAACCCTAAACCCTAAACCCTAAGAGAACGGCCCCGCCAAGGTCAGGAGGCGGGATGGCGGTGCCTTCGACAAGCACCAGTATTACAGCCAGCCGGAGAGCTACGAATCCATTTTCCAGGCGCCGAAAACCTCCTGGTTGGTTATAAGTGTGCAGTTTTGTCATACGAAATTCTTAATAAGCAATAGAACTGATCATGTTCAAAAGAACCCCAACAAGGGAGCAAGCGCCAGCAGCGCACACTTCAGGTTTGAGGTCTTGAGTGAACCTGAAGCCTTCCGCACGGACGTTCCCCAGTGTCATGGGGAGATGGCCTCAAGTAAGCCCTTTGAAGCCCCTCCCAGAAGTCCCCAAGGCCCTCAAGTCCGAACATTTTGGACTTTATATGGGGGTTTGCGATATTGATATGAGGGGTACCTTATTGGGGTCCTTATTAGAGGATCCTACTTTTTGGTGGGGTTATTTCAGGGTTCCCCTTTTTTCGCTTACAAGCTCTCCTCCAGGACACCGTCCTTCCCTACGCCACGGTCATCCTCAACGGCATGTACTGGGATGCACGTTTTCCGAAGCTGCTCCTTGGGTGGTATACCCATTTGGTTGCTCAAGAGTTCATGGCCCCGGGGGGTTGGGAGTTGGTTTTGGGGGGGGTTGGGCTTTTTGCTTTCGTGGTGTAGGTTTCGGGTTGCACAAGTCCGGGCGCTTTTGTCAGCGTCACAGCAGTCGAGGTTCACGAGGGACGACCTGCATCTCCATGCGGTGGGCGGGCAGGACAAACTCTTGGGAGTTTGCGACATCACCTGTGATGCAGACGGGCCCTTTGGACCCTGAGTTTGATGACTTGACGTGGCGCAGCCCGAGCCGGAAAAGTCTCAAGTGAACGAGGAATATGTGACAGTTTTTGCTTAACTGGCCAAGGTCTGTGCCCACGCGCCAGTTCGCCAGCATTGAGCAGCCATTTCACATCCTCAATGCGATGACGGGGCAGATCTCTGATTGCCTGGCTGCTCGGTCTCTATAGCGAAGTAGTCCTTGCCTGAGTACAAGGACTTGGCCAGCCAGAGTTGCTGGATTCGGCCAGATCTCCCAAATTGAACCATGGCTGCCGCTTGGGATGTTCCCCCTTATGCTAACAGTCCTTAATAGGGATTATAACACGGGTAACCCTAAGCCCTAAACCCTAAACCCCAAACCATTAAGGACTGCTAGTATAAAGGGGGAACCTCCCAAAGTGGTCACTTTTCAGCTGTGGGATCGAGCCGAGGACGACCCAGGGGTGCTTTTCCACGCAGCGCCCTGGAGAGAAGATGCGTTTGAGGGAGACCTAGACAGACCCATCATTAGGGTCTAGGGTTTAGGGTTTAGGGTTCATCAAGACCCCTGAAACTCTTGGGGTTCTTGTCTGATGGGTGATGGAAACAGGATTCATCGCTTGTTTCCTGAGTTCGCAGCTTGGCCGGTGGATCTTCAGAAGATGGCTTAGCATTGGGATGTTCCCCCTTATACCAACAGTCCTTAATGGGACCCCTATTATAATCCCCATTAAGGACTGTTAGTACAAGGGGGAACATGCCAAGCTTAGAAGATCGTCCTGGGGTTCTAGCACAACGACATACGACCCCAGTCCGAATGTTTAACAAGACGTCCTGCAACCTGCGAGCCTAAGCCCTGAAACAGCTTGAAGCTGAAATCCTACTCATATACATTTCTATACGTGAGCATATACGTTGTAGTCAACCCTCTTAGCCTGCCAGCCCCAAAGCCCCAAAGAAACTCAGAGCGCCCCTGAGGTGGACCACTTGCCATCGGAGCTGCCCAGGGAGTCGTCCGAGCACTTTGGAGACTGCCTTGTTCCCTTCCTGCCATACCTGGCCGAGGACCGCCACCCGCCCTAAGGCAAAGGTCAAGTGCAAGACCGAACGCACATCTCTCTTGAAAGCAACCGAATCTGTAGGGCTTTCAAGAAGGAGCCTGTGGCAAAACATATAGGATCGGTAGATCGGTTCGTTGATTTCTAATGCGGTTTCTATCCAGAGGCGCTGAAAAGGTACAACAGAAACTGATTGGAAGCTTTGCTTTTTCTGAAGACTTCACGTGCTTCACAGGTGGCACAGCAGGAGACCCCACCACGGGACACGCAACAGCCCTTCCCCTGAGATCCTGAGATTGGCGCCTCAGAAGATTGAATGAGTGTCTAATCGGTGCTTCCAGTGCAGCAGCGGGGGCGCTCCCCTCCAAAACATCACCAAAGTCTAGATAACAGAATAGGCAAAGTCTTTGACCGGCTCAAGGGCCAAGTGTTGCTGTCAAGGTGCATATAGCAATTTGCCGTTGACACATCAAGCCATAGCGCACGGCAGATGGGTGCAGATGTCGGGCTTCCCCGTTTCGGGTGCAAGGGATGCCAGCAACGCAGTGTAGTGTAGACCCGAGGCAGCACCCGCAGGTCCAGCTGCGGACCCATCTAAGCCTAATCCCGAAACCCTAAACCCTAAACCACAGAACCCAAACCAAGAAGGCTTGGTGAGTTGCTGCGGTGTGCCCTTCAGGAGGTGGCACCGGCAGAGCCTGGCCCACCTGACCAGCAACTCTGCGAGATTATGCCATGACACCTAGTTTCTTCGCCTTTTATGGGTTTCCTTATTTAGTAGGAGTATTAAAGTTTAACCGTTTTTTCCGCTTGGTTTTTGGAGAAGTAAGGCTTTAGTGCGTTTAATCTTGGATGTTAGCGTTAGTTGTCCGAGCCAGCACGGAACTTCAGCTTCATTGTATATAAGTGTCCTTCCACATCGAGCACGGGCGTGACAAGCTTGAGTTAAGGAGTGGAGGTAGAGAATAAAGGATCACATCGAAGCAGTGTAGTTCAAGGTTCAAGGATCGCCAGCCAGTCGAGCAATCAAGTATATACAGTTATACGACTGAAACTAAAAACATGGCGGCCAGCGCATGCTAGCTGGGGAATGGCTCGATGTAGGCAGCGGTCTGCGGCCCCAAAATCCGATCCGCCGGTGTTCACGCACCTCGTGCGTCCCAGATCTCCAAGCTTGCTACCCTAGGCTTGCGGGCTCTGCGAAGATGCCCATGCCGATCCGTGGCGCCATCATCACAGAAGGGGGCGCGCTGACGCGGGAGCAACTCGAAGACTGAATCTCAACAGGGGTTTAGCTTCGGAGTCCTTGAATGATCTCGAGTTCTACTGGTATAGGCTTGGGGATGGTCACGTAAATCCAGCGATCTGTCAACTACCCCTATGTGTCAACTGGAAGCACAAAGTTGTGTGTTAGATCTTGGGCCACCTCGCTCTGCGCGCCGGACGTTTGTGGCACCCTGGGTCGGGCCTTCCAGGGGCTCTAGTGGCTCCATGTTTCGGGAAGGATCGGACTCCCGTGCTGAATGTTTCTCAGGATGTCTGATGCTAGCTCCCTTGCTTCAGGGTCTTAGCAAAGGGCGTGAACTGATTCATGTGGCAAGTCTTGTTACGAGTCGGATATTGCGATTTGTCAGAGCTTTTGTTAGGCAATCATTGAGTTGTAGCCTTACCTGAGTCTCGCTGTCCAGTCGGAAGGCGCCAGTCAGCCCAGAGAACCGGTTTGCATTCGGGTCTGGGGAAGGCCAGCTGGGATCAGGAACTAGGAGGTGGCTGTCAAGAAATCCTAAACCCTAAAGCCCTAAACCCTAAACCTGATGTGTGAGCAGAAAAAGGGACGCTGCTCTAAGATGCCTCTGGACCATTTTTCGACCACAACTGCATTTCATTTTGCTCAAGCAAGAAAGGCGAGGGCGCACGTAACGGGGTTTAGGGTTTAGGGTTTAGGGTTGCATGTTTTGGGGCCTGCATGGAAGCTGAAGCTTGCACATGAGACTTGGACTTTGCACTCAGGTACCGTTATATTCAGCAGCTGCGGGATGTCCGACAAGGAAAAGTCGTAGCTGTGGAAGATGCAGCTCGGCCGGAGTATTCGCAGTGGGCACTGGCATACCGGAGTCGGCTTTGAAGTTTCTGGCTTAGGTCTTCAAATTTGAGGGTTTGCACTCAACGCAAAGGTCATGCCAACTGTGGAGGGTTGCTGTGCATTGACGCTTGCAGTCCATGACCTGAAAGGATGTGCCGTCCCAACACATCCAAAATCATCCCTACAACTTCTTTAGATCCTGATGAGAACTTGAGCCCTGAAACCTTGAGCCCTTTCCGCCAAACTCGACACAATCGGGGCAGCCCAAAAAAACTCTACCCCAGCCTCGAAGAGGTGCAGCAAGGCCCTGAATTCTACGTTCTCAAGTGCCCTGCGAGAAAGACACGGTAGGAAACCCGGAGATGCCATGCCTCGTGGGGTTAAGAAGGCAGTCAAAACCCTCACGGGTGGAACCTCTTGCCAAGATCCCATCCTCCGAAGCCCCCGAATCCTCGGTTGGACTCGAAATAGGAGTTTTCTGATGAAGAGATTGAGGGATTGGCGGGATTGGCCCCCAAACTTCCCGAATCTATAAACCCTAAACTCCATATTGGGGTTTTACGACAGGAGGGGACCCCCCTATTTTAGACTGCCCAAATAGTAGGATCCCCTTATAATAAGGACCCCAAGAAGGTACCCCCAATTTCGGAAACCCCCATGTAGGCTTTATTAAGCGTTTTCCTTTTCTCAGGAAAGCACGTCGCAGTTGCCAGCAGCGCCATCCTGCTGCACATTGGAGCTCACCGGGCACCTTTTTGACACGCGGCTAATCAACAAGGTGCCGCCCGTTAGGGTTTAGGGTGAAAGGGGTGTAGGGTGTACGGTTTATGGGGTTTAGATCTGGGATTTCGAGGTTGAGGCCCGGCTACCCGTTGCGCTTTCCGTCCCCAGCCACAAAGCTGTTGTGGTTTCCTCGGGCGTTGACTCTGAGTTTCTCACCTTCGGACCGAAGTAGAGGGATACGGTTGCTGGGCATACGATGCCAGACACTTCAGTTTAGAGGAGAGAAATGAGTTAGCTTTACCCCAGAAGGTCCCGAAGCTTTGTTCAGGCTTCGGGCGTTGGGTTTCGAGGACTTTGATCAGCCTAGCTGACCCTGCAAGCTGGCAAGATATTCCTTTTTGAATGTCCGAGAAGCGAGTGCGAGTCATGTCGGCCGTGCACATTCCACGCCATGTCGAGCATGTGCATTCGGAAGATACGCAGAGCAGCATCACGTCTCTCATCCAGCGCCATGGACTACAACATGAGCTGCAAGTAACTGTCTCGGTCACATAATCGCCATGTCTGGAATAGGGTCTCTGGGTTGTGCAGGGTGTTCCCTCTCGTTCGGCCACACCAGTGTCTCCACTTCGTGCTTGGGCGCTTGCAGGATAGCACTTGTAGTGCCTCGGCTGCCGATTCTAGCCATACCCGCATAAGCCCACACCGTGCTCTCTGGCAGGTTGCTGATTTGTGCGAGCAAGGGCGCGCACGTCGCTTGGCCTTTGCAGAAAGTGACCGGATCAGTTAGTCCCAGAACTTTGTGAGTTCTAGAACCTTATGGCTATGTATAGCTCATGGTATGGAGGGTGCTGTCCCTTCGTACAACTCCGAAAATTGGAGGGGCGTTATATGGCACGGGCTTTGCGTATGGGCAGGGTCTGCAAGTGCATGAGCTAATCAGGTTTGCGATGGCCGCGGCACTTCAAGTGTTTGTCTAAACTGTCTAAGAAGCTGTACTTTCCCATATGGGGGTTTCCGAAATGAGGGGTACCTTATTGGGCTCCTTAATATGAGGGGATCCTACTATTGGGGGATCTACATTGGGCGTCCCCTATTTTCGTAAACCTCCATATCAGGCACGCTGTACTTAGCATTGACAGATGCGATGCTGTAAGGATTCAGGGCAGATCTAAATGAGTTGGGATGTTCCCCCATCTACGAAGAGTCCTCCATAGGGATTATAGTAAGGGATACTAGAATCCCTAGTAAGGCGTTGGGATAAGGGGGAACAGGCCAACAAAAATGAGACCTCAGGCATGCATATCCTTTTGCTGGACGTTGGCCGGTCTGTTCGTGATGAGAGCTTCCTGTCCCTCATGGTCATGGCTCACTCTGAAGCCTGTCTGCAACACAGCAGATGCCGCTAACATGACTCCAGACTGATGCCATGTTCCCCCTAAGCCCCCAAACCGGGACTTCCCTGCCGAGGGGGTTGTACTTGGCATCTAAAGGGGGCTTGATACGGCAAAGAGCATCAGGGCCGAAGAGGCCAACAAGAAAAAAGGGCCCCTCCCTGCTGCACGGTTTTCCTTGTTTCGGGGGGGGGGGGGGGGCGTCCGCTCTTTCTAGGATTCTAGGAGCCTGGGGTTCCCAAAGCCCTTCGAGGGCCCGTTACAAGTGCAGCACAGCAGAG